TTGTAATGCTCCAGTCTTTTTTTTTTTTTCTCCTATTGGAAGTACAAGTTGATTTCCAAGTAGAGCAGTTTCTACATGTGTAGTTCCTTGAAAAGTGCATAGTCCTTGTTTCTTGGTGATTAAAAAAGCTGGTTTTGCTTATAATAAAATAGTTTCATTACTGTGTGTAATGAGATAGTTATTTCAGTATTTTTAGTTGTTTCAGTGCTTTAATGGTAGTAATGCTGGAGTAGTATTATATCATCTGTATCTAGAGATTACACAAAAGCAAGGAAAATTGCTGTCCCCCAAGAACTCATCTGCTATCAATGTTAACTTCATACGTATGACCTACTAGCTATCTGCTGTTTTAATGGTAGTGCATGTGGAACACCTGAGTGTGATGAACCTGTGGCTACTGGTGTGTCTGCCTGAGCCTTTCTTTAAATAGAGCTGTTCTGTGACAGTTGATATGCTTAACAACTGATATACTAATGTTTAAATTGGTCTTTATTTTACTGAAGTGATAGTATACTTTGGCTACTAGAAAATTCATTCCATTGAGACATGGAGCCTATGCACCATCTTATGGTATTGTTTTAGTAAGCAGTAGAAAACTTGCCCTTCCAGTTAGGCAGCACGTGATGCAGGAAATAATTCTGTTCTTGTACAAGCTACCATTGGCAAATACAGTAAAAATGGGTTTCCAAGAAAAAGCCTGTGTCATGAGCTAGCAGATCAGAAACTTACTATCCTCTTGGAGGACAGAAAAACAGGCTTATACTGAAATTTTGACACAAAGCGTGTTTGTCTCTTGGGTTTTTTTATGGTTTTAACAGTATTTGCAGGTAAGGGTTTTAAAGTCATTGCCTGCTGAAAGCTGCTTAAGACTTCACAGAATACATTTGGGCACATGTAGAAACAGCAGCTACTGTTGTATGATTTTTTTTTTTCTTGCATGTTGTTGTCATTTTTTTCCAAGGTCTCAGTAGATCTGGAGTGTGAGCTGTCTTCTCAAGGGGGCTGCGTAGGCCTGGCAGAAAGGAGGTCCTTTTTGAGCAGATGAAGGAAGGGAGATGCCAGAACTGTTAATACAAAACCACCCCTAAATGCTAAATGTAAGCTAAGATTCTGATTCCATAACTGCACAGTGTACTTTAAAGTTAACTTGGCTGGGTTAAATTATGCCATGAATGCAGCTGTTCTCAGACTATTTGCAAAGTAGGTGGCTTGTTTCCTGGTACTGATAAAAAGGTACCAAGGAGTCACGCTGATTTTTATTCCCCCCCCCCCCCCCCGTCATTTCTTCATTTCTGATAAATCCTAAGTATTGTATTGAAAAAAAAAACAGGGTTTGTTTGGGTTTTTTTATGTTCAAATGCTTCTTTTAAATCTCTCTACCACCTCTTTACATGTAACGGGTTTGGTCAGCATAATTTAAGCTGAACAGACAACACTGAGTTAACTTTTACAGGGCAAGGCAGAGGAAGGAGAGGATAAATATCTGACTCCAAGCAACAGTCTCCTTTAATACTGATTCTCCTAACATAAATTGGTTATAATCATTTTAAATTCTGGGCTTAAAAGCAAATACAAGAAGCTTCAGCTCTGCAAGGGTTTCTGTAATGTGATAAACAAAAGCCCAAAGGCATTTAAAAAGACAGAACAGGTAATATTCTTAGATTAGTCTGAGCTGTGACAGAAAACTAGGGTGATGTTGACTTGCCCCAAAATAACATTTTTTGTGACAAGTGTGTTCTGGCAAAAAGTTACATTGAAGGTCAGGGTTTCCAGAATGGTGCATCAGGTTCTCTTCATTTCCTCTGTCTTCCTTTCACTGTAACTTTATGAAAGTTTATGCCTGAAATTTTCCATTCCCAGAGTAGGAATTTTACTGGAGAAGACTTTCAGACAGGCTGCTCCACAGCAGAAAGAAGACTAGCTAGTGCTCTGGGTGGAGTGGTATTGTAACAAGCACTCTCTGTATTTTGCTGGATGACTTGAGGGAAAAGTATTTGGAAAGGGTCGTTCTGGGACACAGTGCAGTGCTTAACCAACAGAGGGCTTGGATACTTTGTGGGATACAGCAGCGTGAATAGAGGAGAAACACGGCCACCTGAGCAAAGGGACAGTGATGCATAAGCTTGAAGAGAAAGCAGGCTGTTGTCAGGAAGGATGAGCAGGATAGAAAACCCTGACACCCATAACAATTTTGGATTGCTTCTTCAAGGCCAGGTATAATTAAGACTGAGATGAAGAACCAGTCTTGAACACTGCAGCCAAGCCTTCATTTAATCTAGTTTGATGTGGGGGTTGTTACAGTAAAATAAGTGGCTGCTGTACCCCCATACTTGTGCCACACTCTCTGCCTACAAGGGTAGAGATTTCCTTCAGTTTCCTAAAAGGTAAAGTGGAAAGATCAAAGAATTAGATATCCGGAGCCCAGCATTCCTGCTAACTGTGCTCTTCCTGCTCTAACTATTCACAGCATTTGTTTTTGTATTGTGATTTGACGGATCTCTCTGTTTCTGATCAAAGAACTTTTAAGGACAAATACAGTCTTGTAGCTCTTCCAATGAAAAGTGGTTGTTTTGTGTTTTAAGAATTGTAGTTCAGCTCCACCTTGTTGGTCTCTCTTACAAGACTTTCTCAGGACTCTGATGCAGGAGTTCAGCTAGTGTGATACTCTAGCACACCCTAGGAAAAGGAGTACAGCCTATGGGAGAGATTAAGAGCAGGAGATGGAAGAATCATGTTCCTGAGACCACTAGAATGGGTACTTGTGCTAAAAGTTTGTTTCATTTCCAGCAGCACTCACTGCGTCAGATGATACCATGTTAGCAGGTCTTCCTGCTATTATAAGAAAATAGCTCTGCCAGAATAGGCCCATTTCCATAGCAGCAAAGAATGATGGTGAACTGATTTACCAGGAAAAATAGAGAAAATTGGTTGTTATTTGAGATAGTAAGATACCTTTTTTGAGATTTGGGGAGGGGGGGGTGGGGGGTGTGGAGTAGTAGAGGAATATGCAAGAAGCAGCTGGAATTGGTACCATGCTGTTGGTAGGACACCACAAGTAGTCCTACAGGCACAGTATTTTTCAGGTTGCAACTGATAATTCTTTAGGAGGAAATGGCTTGACTTCTGATACTGAAACATCAATAACCAGCTTGCCTGGCTGGAATAACTTTCTATATGATGCTCTGTAACCTTTTCTTGAAGGAGGAGGAGGCATGGTCTCTTCTTGCTGAGCTCCCAAGACTAGCAGAAACACATGCTGTAACATTTGATCAGAGTTGTGAAATCTGGGGCATAAGAAACTACATTATTCAAAACAGGATTTGGGGTTTTGATCTGCAGCCACTATGATGAAGATATGACTAGAGATGTGGAGTCTCTTGCTTAATTGGGGCACAGAACAGCTGACTCAGGACAAATAATTTCCTTTTTAATCACTTAAGACTCCCCTAGTTTGTAATCTATAAACTCTTAGTAACTATTTGTCATCCCTCTCTCTGCCTTGTCCTTGGTCACTTAAAATCTAGAGCCCTGCCTTACTCTGGTAAGACCTTGCTCATTTAAGCTGAAAGGCAACTCTTAACTCTTTCACAGGCCATGCTACTCTTGCATCTTAATTTGTTGAAGGGCATTGTACAGTTATCTGCAGAGCTAAATCTGTTTTCCAAGTTCTTAAGAAGAAAAGCTGAATATACAATTTATCTTTTTCTGAAATTAAATAAGCCTGATTAAAGGATAGCTGCTCATAAGCACAGCTGAACTGAATCAGGCTAAATACTGCCTACTGCAGCATCCTGTCTCCAGGTGTAGCCAGAACAAGTTGAAGATGAGTAATTTGAGTATTGCAATGGTGTGTTCTTTATCTGACAGCAGTTTAAGGTCTTTTGTTTAACAGTCAGTTTAACAGTTAACTCTTTCTTGTTCAATTACCTTGTGAATCTGCCACATTCCAAAGGAATGATTTTTCATACCCACACATCTTATGAAGAGTTGCTATGTGCTACTTTTTGTGCATGTCTGCTGCTAGTTTTTGTAGTGGAGGAGATAGCAACTAGTCTATTTCCAGCCATAGTTTCCAAGCTGCTTTAGATTTGGCAAACTTTGGCATAGGTCTCTGCTGTCATGTCAAATAAAGTCATAGGCTGCTTAATTGCCAGCTGCATAAATTATTCCTAGGTCATTGATTATCCTAGGCAGTATTCTGTAAATCTTTTTTTTTTTTTTAAGGTACAGTGGAAGGCAAGGATTTTTTTTGTGGGATTGAATGCAAGAAGTTCATAGAATGGGTCTCTTGTCTTACTGTTTTTCTTGTTTCTCATTCTGCTTGCTTTTGAATGATACTGAGCTCAATATGTGAGCTTGGAATTATAATAGACGGAAAAGCTGAGCAGCAAAGAGTTTTGAACTTGTTCATTAACTATGTTTCTCTGTTTTCCCTCTAAAACATGGACTTCTTCTTTTTTTTTTTTTTCCCACTAAGTCCCTTTGGAACTTTTCATGAAGGCTTTACTGTGCCAGAATGGATGAACTGTGCAATAAAAGCTCAAGTTGTGGGTCAACATGTTGTGATACAAAGACAAAATGCTAAGATAAGGTGTTTTCCATTTACTGGGTTCAGTGCAGTGGCACAGACAGTCTCACTGCTGACTAGGAAAGATGTCTGTGGGTTTGGTCTAAAAGCACTGTTCCATAGCTGATGGATACTGAAAACTATGTGGACAGTACTGGTCTCTTGCTGTAGTTCTGACAGAAAGCTAATGATTTTGCTGCGGAGGAAGTAGACACACAGGAATAGAAACTGCTTAGTCCTTCAAGAAACTCCGTTCCATACAGCTGATCATGGTGACTTGAGCCTGTTCATGCTGTATCTGACACTGGGAGGATATTAATGTTCTTTTCCTGGAGCCTTTTTTCTTTTTTTGGTGTAGCATAGCATTCTCTGTCCTGGCTTTCAGAGATGGCCTCTGTATTTTCAGGTCTGTAAAAGGGTATATAAAGTGGCCCCTTCCACATCTGCTCCTTGTGTTTAGACACTGATGCAGCTGGAGATTAGTAACTAATTAATGCTTCATGGGCCACTGAAAAGTATGTGGAGACAAACTGTCACTGCATGTGCCTAGACAGCAGCATGGACTTGAATTGGTTATAACCACAAAAGAGGGAGTGGGTTAAAGGTATGCTTGCTTATTAATCGCAAGGGTCAAATTAATCTGAAGACGGAGACTAGCAAGTTTCTAGCACTTGTCAATGTGTGGTAATACCTCTGCTGCAAGTCCCTGCACTGACAGAACAAAACTCTTCAGGAGACTGTTGTAGCTTGTTGCTTCCTCACTTTTGCAGCAGTGATCTGACCAACAAAACACTTGCTCCTCTTCGCAATAGCAGGAAAACATCCCCAAGTCTCTACCCTAGCCTGTGATAGCAGATTTTATTTCCTTAACAATTAGGTTCTATGTAAAGCAAAGTCTAAACTCACTAAAAACACAAGAGGCTGGAAAGTTTCTGGAATCCTCAAAACTGAATCAAGGGAGATCATGCTTTGTTGTTTCCTCTCTGCAGATAGCAGATGCAATTAGAGCACAGGAATGCTGGGGCAGGTGTGAAGCACAAAATCAGACTCTACAACCCAGAGTTATAAATCAGGTGTGTTTATTACAGCACTGGGTGCAAGGGGGACTGCTCTTCCTAACTTGCACACCGAGGGATTAAGCAAGCAGATATTTATTATGCACAAACATGCATGTTCATTAGATTCCTGAGAGTTCTGTGGGGATATTATAATTTGTTTAGGTACTCATCATCATAAGTCTCCTCCCTTTTGGTGCTTGTGCACTGCTCTCTGATGGTCGTGGGCAGGGGTCTTCAACATTAAGTAAGCAGTCTTCCTCAGGATGCACTTTTCACCTTTGGCACAGTTGGATGCTCCAGTAATCACAAATTAGCTGAAACCAACTGTATCTGCAAGTTCCTGATAGCTGGTGAAGATTTAGGACAGTGTAACCTTCATACAAAATTAATTGCAAGCAGAACAGGATGGGCAGACAAGGAGTATCCCAAGCTGGCAGATGTTTGGGAGTCACTGTCTCCAAATTCACTGATAATTAGAAGGCTGGTAAGAAATAATTCACTCTTTAGAAGGATGGAAAATAATTCACTGTTGTTAGTAAGACTACTAAATTCTGTTATCACACCACAGGCTTACAACACAAATATTATTCTCTATCTCAGACCTAAGTTAAGTTAAAAGTATTTTAACCCTATGTTTTCCAGGCACTTGCTTTCCTTATATCAGGTGAAGCCAGAAAGTGTGCTGCTTGAGCAACTTATAGCAGCCTATGATGGCAGTAAGCCTGCTGCTGTGGTTGCTGTGAGGCAACAATGATCTGCTGGAAAGGGACATTAAGTCATACGGCTGCATCTCCACTGCAGAAGAGAAGGTACTTTATTTCCCTGTAACTGACATCACCCAAGTTTTTCTCCTTTTACCTTTGCTAAAGTCTCTGCAGCTGAAAAGATCTATTGTCTCTAAAACAAATGCACAATCTCTGGCTTCTAACTTGTTTTGAATTTTTTGCTATTATATGACTACTGTGATCATCTAGTCTGACTTCCTGCCTGCCACGGTCTATAAACATCCTGTAAATAACTTCAGGTCTGATAGATGTGATTAAATTGGAATGTTGTTAGAAAATTCCTATGAAGTAGAGAATATGTCAAGATGGGCTGTATGCCACAGCCTGAAGTGTGTACTGCTCCTGCTGCAGTAGATTGACAACCTGACTGCAGTCTGGATGCCTGGAGGCGGAGTACCTTCCACATAGCTCCTTGTCTGACTGCAACTATGATAATATCCTGTGACTGACCTTTTGAATTTGAACTGAATTTGAACTTAGGGGAGAATGAAAGAGACACCTTCCTGTCCATCCCACTGTATTATAACTGGTGACAATTGTTGATACCCTTTTCAGACCTCTTTCTATTGAAGGGTTGTTGTAGGAAATACAATTTGATGAAATGGCTGTTTCTAGGGCATATGTTATTCAAACACCTTGCAAAGGTCTAAAGTAGCCCAAAGCTATGTCATCACTTCCTTTATTGACTACAAAGAAAATCAGTTGGGAAAGGATATCCATCAAGTGTGTATCTGAGCCCTGAACCTAAATTACACAATTGTCCTTCCTCTCTGCAGGCAGTGCTGATCCACACTGTTGTCCTGCTGGCCTGGAAGAGCCTAAAGCAATCACAGGCATTTTGAGTCACTTGTTAGAGTTCAAAAGCAAGAAATCTTGATTAACACACACCTCATTAAAACTCCAGCAGATGTATGGGTTGCAGTAGCACTGACTTTTTTTTTACCATAGGAAGCAACATCCAGTGACATCCTTTGAGTCAAAGCACAAGCAGACAGTATTTAGGGAGCAGCACAAGAGAGCAAACATCTACTTTCGGCTTCTAAGAAGTTTCCCAACTTCTCTGCTTGTTAAATAAGACAGTTGCCAAACAAAATAATTCCTCTGTGTCTACTTTATCAGACTTTGGATTTGCTGGGAGCGATTCACAGTTTTAACTGCAGCTATTCTACTGATGAAAGGCAGTATTTATATACTTTTGTAGATATGATAAACCAAACATACAAATCTCCTACCAGTTTATTAGTTTTTAGCAGTTCATAAATAGGAAACCTCATTAAGAAAATGTTCCTGAAATATAATTCAGTGGTGTCCTCTAAAGAGCTTTTAGTCTTGTTATGCTGGGATTACTGAACTAAGACTCTAAAGCTGTGTATTGTGTTATCAAGACCTTCCGATGTTAAATGGATTGTCTTACGTTAACAGCTTAAAGGTATCATGTTGTGAACTTTTGTCCACAAATACAGCCACAAGGAGAATCTAAAATTGGTCAGGATTTTTATTTATGACAAAAGCTGCTTTTCACAAATCCCAAACACTCAGGTTTATTAAACTTCTTCAACTGTTATTACTAAATGATAACAGAACATACATCTTGCTAAAACTGAGAATTTCACTACAAGAGCAGAGCAAAAAATACAGATAAAGAATGATATAACTGTAGTGGACAATAAGGGAAGCAAACACATGCATGTTCAAAGATTACTTTTCATAGCGCCCGTGTTATCTTCTCCTATCTTGTAATGCATATTCCACTTATATTGTGGTTTAATACACATGAAATATTACAAATTGCTTGAAATAATGATATATGGTCCTGGTCCCTGGAGGATCTGATGGTGGTGCCTATGTTACTCTCCCAAAAAAGGATAGTCCTTGTGATTTTTGCATCTAGAAAAAGAGAGTATGATTAAAACACTTCAGGGCTAAGATGAAAAAGCTTTTCCCCCTGACAGAAACTCTTCAGAACTAAAACTGTGAGCTACAGCAAAAACACTAATGTGGGTTTGCTTAATTTACACGGAGCAGTGGAAATTAATGCTCTGCAGCCTTCACATATACCAGTGACCTTGTTCTCAAAAGGCACTGTATCTTTTGCTTAGCTGAAATTGCCAAACTTGTCTGCAACATGAAACCACTCTCTTGTTAACTCCTAGATCTGCAGTATGCTATTAGGTAAGTGGGTAACCTGTGAAAACAGAATGAATTGCAGATCTTGGTAAGTCTGTATCTAACAGCTGTATTATCTAGATGCTGCTTTAATAATGTTGGCATAAATACATAGGCACAGCTTTTCACTTCAAAAAAACTTAAAACTCTCATTCTTAAAAAGTTTATTTACAGTGACTGTCTCTTATATGAAGTAGCCAAAGAAAACAGAGGAGGCAGGGGTGGAAGGCTGCCTATTTATTTTGGAGTTCCCTGCTGATTTTGATTTTCAGACAGCAGTTTAGTATGCATCTGTTACAAGATGTCTTAACACACAATGTCCCTGCAAAAATCTAGTGCTACCAACCTGCACAAGACAGGCAGTGCTCTGATATACCCTAGTGTTGGATTCCGGCACATAGGGATGTGACTGGATATTGGCTACAGTTCCTTCTCTTTTAAAGTGGGGTTCTCAAATGCTGTCTGTTAAAAGGATATCCAGTAACAATCTAATCTTGCTAAAACATGAAGGAGGAGGTACTCACTCGTTTAAAGTACAGATGCGATACCGCTTCTTGAAAGCCAGTAAGGTTCCCATCTCCTCTTCAGCCAATTCAAAGTCAAACACCTGAATAAAGTTCCAAACCAGCTGAGTTACTTCAGTTTGCAAGAAGAGAAGTTGCAAAAAGAACACCAAAAACAGAAGTAGCAAATTGCTGTATTTGTTGGAGTCCAAGGAACTGTGCCAGAAGATGCATTATTGTGGTGAGCAATGAGTGAATGTCATAAAGTTACAGTGCTGGTGGGGTCTAATTGCATCATATTTATATCACAAGAGGGAAAAGTTAATCTCTGTCAATGTATTCTAGTGAAGGAGACATGGCTCCTTACTTCTAAAGCAATGCTTTGCATTCATAAAGTGACCTACAGTATCTGTCGGATGGAAGACTACTAGCTCCAGCTATGAAGGGAGTACTTTGTCCCACTGGCAGAGGGGATTTTTTTTCTGTGTAAAGTTTGACACCATTGATAATCTCATAAGGTACCCTCTTACCTTAAAATTTTCTTCAATGCGGTGTGGAGTGACAGATTTGGGAATTACACTCACATTTCTTTGAATCTGGAGGCGGATAAGCACCTGCAGGAGCAGATAGGGAATTACAGCGGACAAGCTCTGCCTGTCTTCTGAAAGCCAAAGCCCGTAAATGGCTACACAGTTAAACGGATCAGTTCTGCTAATTATCAAAGATGGTTCACAGAGAAAAAGCAGTGTAGTAAACCTTCCCCAGTTATTACCTGAGCTCATTTAATCGTTATCTGTCTCTTGAGATGACAGCATGGGAGTGCATTGAACAAGAGTTCAGGATCAGTCAGGGATGCTGCACATAGAGGTGGCTAGTGTGCTATTTAAAGCCCAAAGGCATTGGTAATCTTCTGTCCATCTTTAAAACTTGCCTTAGAGGTAGTATTTTTTTTTTAAGCATTACAATGTGTGTGGGACACAGCTGGAACTCAGCTTTCCATAATACCTCTGTAAATAGCTACTTTAGCACAAGTCATAAAAACACCCATTGCCAGGGAAAATACTATGAGTGGTATTAACCTGAGCTGGGGTTTTGTTGTACTTGAGTGCAATTTCCTTAATTTGGGGATCATCAAGAAGGGAAATATCCTCAGGCTTGGACCTGTGAAAATAAAAAGCAGATTTAAGCAGTTGAATGGTCCACTGTTTCTCCCTCAGGCACTGTAGTGTAAAAATACCATTTAAATAATAAGCAGGCATAATCTCGTGCACTTTGATTCACTATATTCTTTTTGCTCCTGTCCCTGCCTTTGTTCTTTCCCTTTCATTGCCATTTGGCATGAGAAGAGGCCTGTAGCTTCTAGTGTAACAGGTCACTGTAATACATTTCAGTCCAGCCTGGGATGAGGCTGGAAATTTCTTTGGTCCAGATCCCAAAAATTTCATCTTAAGAATGGGCAGCTGTCGTGTCCTTCACAAGCACAGCTGCTCTGGTAAACATCCTGTCCCAGCCATGAAGTCTTGAGTAAAAGCAAAATCTCTTCAAGTCATCCTTTCAATAAACCTAATCCATTCATCTCAGCAGGACTGCAAAGCTGCTGTTCTCATAAGCATTTGCTGCTTTGCTTTGGGGGTGTTTTAGTTCAGAAGTTCTCTTACATGACGTTTAATAAGCTCACCCAAGCTCAGTTTAGAATTATCTTTGCTACTTTCACCAACCAACTGATCCTTTTTCTCCTAAATATGAAACTCCAGTAACAGCACAGGTATGAGTTAGCAAACTGAATATCACAGTAAGTGTGAGAGATTTCTCTGCATGTGTGTAATTTTTAAAGAATAAGTAAATCTCCTGCTAACTACATCAGTTTTACCCTGTGAGGGTTTATCCACATCCTAATATTGGTTTACTACATTGGCTTCAATCTATGTCTGAGATAGAAGTTTCACAAAGCATTCTTACCATGGCCAGTTGGGTGCCCCAAGGGGACAATATGCAGTGACAGAGATGCCCTTGGACTGGCAAAACTTGATCAGCTCTTCCTGAGGAAGATAGGGGTGGCTCTCAATCTACAGAAGCAGAAGGTACTTCAATGTGTAACATCAGTATGGTGACCTAACAAACCCCATGCCAGCTTTGTAATAGGTTGTTCTTTCTGCAGCTATGAGGTTTTTAAGAGTCAGTGTTTCAGATCATTTCCCCTTTTTCCCAACCCTGCCTCCAACAATCTTTACACATTAGTTTCTTTTTCCAGCTGCCTGCCTCGTTTTTCATGACTTCTCACAGTCCCTATACCAATGGGCTTCAAGGACCAGCTGTGCACATCCAGCTGAAGCACCCAACTCTCATGTCACCCAGTCCTACCTATTTACTCCAGCAGCGCAGCCTGGCTCTGATCCTATCTTTTCCCTTAGGGACTGTACAAAGGGAGAAGGGTAAGCCCTGTCACATTCTCCATTGCAGAGCTCAGTTCTCAGCCTGCATTAGCTCAGTGCTGCAGCCAGAAGAAAGGTGAAGGCTGCACTTTCAACCCAGGAGTGCCACAGGCTTGTGTGCCTGCAGCTTCCTACGCAAGGAAGGGCACAGAACGTTCTGCATCTTTCATTGCTTTATCATTTAGCCAAATACAGGTGTATTCCCATGCAGATATGAAAAAGCACAGCCTTAACATAAAAGGTCATTTACTGTTAGTGATGTTCCATGCTAGGGCACAGAATGTTCTGCATCTTTCATTACTTTCTCATTTAGCAAATACAGGGATATTCCCATGCAGACACAAAAAAGCACAGCCTTAACATAGAAGGTCATTTACTGCTAGTGCTGTCCCATCAAATGCAGCACCCCAGACAGATGTGGTATCAGGACTGATGAGTTTGAGAGCAATTTACCTGATTATTTGCAGGTTTGTGTCTTAAGCCTGGTTTGCTCAGAAGCTGATCTATCTGTTTGCAGTTGAAGTTGGAGACTCCAATCGCCTTCACCATTCCTGCATCCACCAGCTCTTCCATAGCCTAGAAACACTACAGAATCAGACTTGCTACTGAATTAAGATTTAAATTTGTTTATGGAAGAAGTGCCTGTGCAAAGATTTCAGTGGTAAAAATCATCATGGCTGGCATCCTCTTCTGATGTGATGTTAGTACAGGACATTGACTGGTGGGACCCTGGTCTAAGACAGCCTCTCACATCATGTATCGTCATTCAAATAAACTACAGCATTATTCAAGATTAACAATTACTACACTGTTATTAACTCACAGATACTGAAAAATTATCCCCAGGTAGACCTCCTGCTCCTAAATAAAAGAGGTTTTTGCTAGGGTAAATAATTATCCCCCAACAAAAGGCTTGTCATATGGGACAGAGCGGCTTGACAAGGAGCTGTTCTGGAGGAGCTAGAGCAGGATACCTGCTCATTAATGGTGATTAATTTCCCAAGGGAGATGTACCATTTAGCAGTGGCAGTAGAGCATATGCAGTGCTGTGTTGCACCACCTCCACCTATTTTCTTTCACACTAACAATAAAACAGCTGGACAGCCATAATTAGATTGACACCTCCAGCAGAAAAGAAACAGGAGAAAATAATTTACTACCAGCCTTTAGAGCAAAAGAAACACCTCTTCCAAAGCAAAATTCATGTTTATTTGCAGTTGCTATCATAAGCAGCAGCCTGAAATGTCCTCTTTTTCCTTCAAATGAGCCACAGAAATGAGCCTTGTTCTTCACATGGCAGAAGGAAAAGCACATCAGCAAATTCCTCTGACTCTGGTGAGTCTCTTGTCTTCTTGCAGCCTGGCCATGCTGAGCACACAGTGAGGGGAGAGGGCAAAGGAAGCCCAGACCGTCAGCCAAGCAGAAATTTGAGCTTGCACCCAAGTTTTGTATCCCTGTGCTCCTGCCTGCTCATGTTGCAACGCACACAGCTTTAGAGATCGGCTTTGGGCAAGTTTCAGTACTTTCTAGAGGGGGGAGATTTGGATGTTCTGGCTACATTGACACAGCCATGTTGGCTTTCCTGTGGTCTGGACAGCTGAGGTGCAACTGGGGATGAGTGTGGCTACAGCTAAAGCCACCAGTGAATACCCAGAGAGTGGTGTGGGGACTGAAGTGACAGAATATGTCAGCTAAAGCCGCTGCAGGGTACACACACAGTCAAAGGTTTCCTCATGCCATGCCCACCCAGCCAGTTTAGTAAGCAGTAGACATAAAAATACCTCAGTTTTGGCAAAGTAACACAAGAAGGAGCCCAAGGACACAGATAAATCATCAATCTGGAATACTTCACATCAGAAACTTGCTGAGAACAATTCCCGAAGTGGAAACCTTAACTTTTTCACTGTTATTTCAAATTAGCAAGGATTTTTTGGCCCGTCAATGAACGTACCTCCCATGTATCCAGAAAATCTGTATCGCTGGGAATGATCATGCCATTTCCATCTGCAGGAAACAGCTCCTCTCCTGCCTGTCATCACAAAAGAAAAGGGAGTTTGAGGTAGGCTGGATTGTAACAGTTAAAGGAGTCTCTTAGAAACGATACAAGTGCGCGGAGCTGTAGGTGCTGGACATCCTGCCTTACGTTTGTGCTGCGGGAGAGAGAGGTGACCAAAACCAGTCATCTGTAGGAACAGAGTAATCTCCAAGAAAATCTGCCCCTTGAGAGCCTGCCCTGCAGGCAGAGGAAGGGCAGACACTTTTATGTGCCTCAGTCAGGCTGGGGGAAGGCCAGGGATGTGACACCATGGGGAAACAAGGATTTATTTAACCTGGGGGTAGAGGGAGAAGAGAAAAACAGGAGCTAAGTAATGCACAACTGTTTGATCCTGGATAAGCAAATGGCAGTCCAATCCCAGGCTTTAAGCGGAATGTGACCTGGATGGTAATTGGATCCGTGATTTAGAAGTTTCAATACCTTGAATCCCATGGGCCAGTGCATCAGGTAGAGATCCAAATAATCCATTTGGAGGGCATCAAGTGTCTTCTGGCATGCCTCCTTCACCAGGGATCTCTCATGGAAGGTGGACCACAGCTGCGGGGGTAACACAAAGCTTGGGAGCTGCTCTCCTAACCTCACAACCACAGAGCATCCCTAGCAGGGAAACACACAGCGCAGACACAGAGGGAGCTCACGATATGGCACATCTTCTTGCCTTGAGGAAATGCCACTTTTGTGCGCCTTATTTAACTGTCCATTAAGTAAAATAAGGATGAGATACTCTAAAATTCCAACGATTCACACAACAATTAAACACAGCAAAGAAAATAAAGCAAAACTGGTGAAAATTGACCTGCCAGTTTCCAGCAGATAGAAGTTACTTTATTTTTCCTACTATTGTTGTGGGGAAAAAACAAAACACAACATAACATACAGGAGCTAACAGGCTGAGGCCGGCAACACAGCGGGAGTGACCACGAATACAATAGCCCTGCTTCCTGTCTCAGAGGCAACTGAGAGCACGGCCTCAGTTCCTGTCTCCATCGCTGACAATGGATATGGACTACAAAAAATCCCTCTCAAATCCAGCCCTTTTTGTTCTTTAGGAGTTGACCTCTTCCTTCCCTCCATCCATAAAACGCTTTGCCCTGAGTTAATTCACAGACCAGTCACATCCCCTGGCACTTTCCAGGTTGGGACCTTGCCTCTCCTCCTGGGAGCTGGCCTCATGTTAAGACAGGTTACCCAAGGACCTACCTTACTGACAATAAAGAGGTCTTCTCGCCTCACAACCCCCTCCTTGATTTTTTCCCGTACTGCATCCCCAATCTCACTCTCGTTCTGGTAGAGGTAAGCACAATCAAAGTGGCAGTACCCAACATCGATGGCAAACTTCACTGCATCTCTGGCTGTTCCCTGGAGAGACTGAAACGAGAATAGAAAGTGGTAATTTGGCAAACATCAGGAAAAGAAGTTTGCTGCTCTGCAAATCTGGAGACTTTAAGCTCCCAAATAATGAGGTGTTCCAGTCTGGATCTTGCTTTCATTTAGTTTTCTGGAATATAAATGGCCATGGGAGTCACCAATGAGTTGTCTGAGCTGATTGGCCTTTTCTAAGGATTGAACATTCACATTCGGACACCAGACTATCTCAAAAGGAGTTTTAATTCGCCTAATTTCAGTGTGAGATCCTGGCAACATGAGGAAATGAATCAGCTCTGGAGAGGTTGCTGGCCCTGCACACAAACAGCCTGGCTCTTGTTGACACAGGACAGGGAGGTGAGAGGACGACGCCAAAACACTACAGACAGTGCCACCTCCTGGGTGAAATACAGAGCCTGGTATTTAATAGCAAAGGGATCGGTTGAGATCCTTGGCTTGGAGACACTGAGGAGTTGTTTGATGACTGGATGCTGACTCTGGAAAATGACACTTCAGGCAGAAACACGGCTCAAAACCGTGACCACCTCCTATATTTAACCTCATTGCATCCCCACCCATCATCTTCTTTTTAATGACTTCACTTCTCCAAACATTTCCGATGAAGGGCTCTTGGTTGGTTCACCTAAATTTAAAATAACATGGAAACCGCAGCGTTTTTTTCCACACAACCAAGTAGCCGGTGTAAAGTCTTACAAGCTTTCCTTTCTGCAGCCCCTTTCCCCATCCCAGCCCTCTCCTATGTACGAATGCTGCAGCCCCTGGGAAAGCAGGCTAATGGGGACACCTGCCAAACACCAGGCTTTATGTTACCTTATCCTTATGTGCTGCTGCAATGTGGGAAAGCTGCCATGCAGGAGCAGTCAGCATTGCTTTTGGGTGAAGGAGGAATTGTTGGAGAACAAAGGCAACAATAGACCCTGTGGTTACCCAGAGTCTGTAATGTGAGCTGTCCTTCAGAAAAGATAATCCATTGTGGTGCTCACTGAACAGGACTCCCAAGTCAGCGTGACTGGGTAAAGGAGAAGCCCCATTGCCACATCGAAACACAAGAAGTTGCTGTGGGAACCTTGAGATCAAGTAGCTATGATGAAGTAATCACAGTGGGTTTGGGCTATGTTTTCATTGCTTTAACACAAGAGATTTTTGTGGTGGCAGGGATCATGTGTCCAAAGTTTTCCTTCTGTTTAGTCCTAACCAGTTCCTGTTAGCGTCTCAATAGGCTCCTTCAGGGAGCTCATCCATCACAACGTCCATGCAAGGAACGCTTTGGGTTTTTAGAGCCTACTTAGTTATTGCTGGCTTCTTAGTGTATTTTGTCATCAGACCAATCAAGACTGAAAGGGTTAAACAAACTTATCCCCATTTGTACCTAAGGTATATGATGATCAGCAGCAGCTGACCCCAAAGTATAGCAAGAATAATTTAACGTACTTTTATGCTAACTGGAGAGTGTTTCATAGGGTCGGCAGCCTGCAATTCAACATACTCATTTCCAGTCCCAAATCCAGGGGATAATCCACTATTTTTCTTCCTTAAGAAACTCACTTTCTTAAAATTTTCAGCTCATTTCCAGGCTCTTTTTACATTTATAATTCAGTATATACTGAAACCTTCTCCCTTCCCAAAGCCCATTAGATAACATTTGCAGGTAAAGAATTAGCCAAACTATTTTCCTGCTGTGTGCTGCATACTCTGCTGCCATACAAATAAATAATCCTCAGTCTTTAGGGAGTTTTTGTAAATCCCCATTTCTAAATCCACTCATTGCCACCTGAGTTCCTATACCCACATGCTCGTCAAAGCTGACACCTACATGACGTGCTGGGATGTTAACACCCAGAGCCAAAAGCAAAGATAAAAACATGAAGAAAAATAAGCAAGGCAGAAGCAGTAACTTTTGTAATATACATTTTTTTGTCCATAGCTAAGATAAACCTTCTTCCCCTGCTCACTCCCTGCCCACTTAACAAGCTTCTTGAAGGACAGGCGTAAATATCCGTGTTACCTGAAGTATTCCAAACAGCAAGAAACACCTCACAGAGGATTTGCTGCCTTGCCCTGATCTGAAGAGGAGATTGCTGAAGAAGTCTACTGTGCTTCTCAGTCTGGTGTTACCTGTGTGACCAGAGGCACGGGGACAAGGAGAGGTCCCCAGCTCCAGCATATACCTGCCAGGTCCCCAGTCCCAGGATGGGCATCCTCGCACGGGTGGGCAGCTCCAGGTAGGTGGCCATGTCCAGTCCCTTCCCAGTCACTGTGGTCAAGGAGAGGCTGCAAGCCCTTGCCAAACACTTTACATAGGCTTTGCCCCTCCCTCCTGCCTGCTGACTGGCTGCAGACAAGGGAAATACAGGCAGAAGTGATACAATAGGCAAGAGAATGCATGGATTTTGCCTTTATCTCACCCTTTGAAGAATTTAGGAACTAACTGTGGGTTCTTCACATGCATTTGTTGAGCGCATGGTGCCAGTTACACGTATTGCATTGACCAAGGTTGCAGCTTTTTTGCATACCACACAGCCCCTGCTTTTCTGCAAATAAAGTGGTATTTGGGGAGTTTGCACATACCCCAAGAGCTATTTCTCATCTCACGTGTTTGCTCAGTTTTCCCAGAGAAGCTGTGGCTGCCCCATCCCTGGCAGTGTTCAAGGCAGGGTTGGACGGGGCTTTGAGCAACTTGCTCTTAGTGGAAGGTGTCCCTGCCCATGGCAGGGGGTTGGAACTGGGTGAGCTTTAAGATCCCTTCCAATCTAAACCTGAATGATTCTGTATTTGCTTCTCTCTATTTTTGCTATGTGTTTCTTGAAGGTGGGGAATATTTGAATCTGAGGAGAAGTGTGCCAGAGATGAAGCAGAGAATGTGTATTATTATGCTACTGCTCCTTCCCTTAAGGCATAGTAATCCCAAAACAAACAAAAAATGGAAAGGAAGAGTACCCAGGACCTACAATAATCCCACCACACACACACTCTTGGTTTTATCTGGTTTTCAAAGCTCTTGCTACCGGTGCACAGTAGCTCAAACACAGGACAACTAATCCCAGCTCCTTTCTATTGTGGTAGCTCTGCATTGGTAGACAGCCCCTGGGTGGGGTGGACTCTGTACTGCGAGAGGTCTCCATGTTATGACTGTGTACCAGCACACTGACACTGACTGCTCTGCACTCAGTTGGAAGTTATCCTTGGGCAGTTTATCCAGGGTGTGGTGAACTTCACTGTGGGCACAGAGGTATCCAAGGACCCCTCATTGCAGCGGTGTTGGACAAAATGACTTCTGAAGGTCCCTCCGAACCCAAACCATTCTATGTATCTCTGACTTTTTGCAAAAGCAGCTCAGGTCAGGCAGTTTTTAAATCTGTAAGTGATGCAGTTTGCACACCCTCCTGTGGCCCATCTGGATCCGGAAGCAATGTAAGCTTCCACATAACAGCAAACCTGACAATAAACCCCATGGGTCTCCAGCACGAGGGCAAAGTGCACAGGGAAGGTTTAGCCTCATTTCCTTGGCTGTTGGAGCTAAACATCAGCAGTAGCTCTAGCCTGAACGCTTAATCTGAGCATGTGGCCTGTAGTATCCCACCTGCATTTATGGTGGTTAGGAAAAATAGACCAAGAATAATCCACAAGAGTTATTTCCTAGGGAATTTATCCCATACTATTTTATTCAAAAGAAAAACATTGATTACTTTTCATTGAAAAACCAACTGAAGAGATTCTTAAATATATCTCAGTGATTGCTTCCTTGATTGGTGATACACCTAGAAGGTTATGACACATTTGAGGCATTTTTCATAAGCATAGCTTGTTTTTAAGTCTCAAGTTATATCAAACTAGAAACGTCTTGTCAGTCTCTTAACCCATTAGCTTCCTGGAAATGCGCCATCTTTCAGCTACTTCACAGATGCAAAAGGCTGCATAAAGCGGGCAGGAGTTTTTCTTACTCACCTATTGCAAGGTGCTTTAGAAAGAGTCTAACACATTCCCGAAGGCAAATAGGCTAAAAATTCCTCATCCTGGTGACAACAATACACTGGGGATTTTTTTTTTAACCAGAATGAGCAGTATAAATACAAAAGCTGAACAGAATAATGGACTTTGCCAGTGCAGTGAAATAAATACCTGCTAGGTCATAAAAATGTCATTTCCAGCTATGCTCCAGGATTTCTCAATTCACCTTCCACATGCCAACAGAAAATGGACATGATTCGTGAACTTCATCATCAACATAAAATTAGGATATATATAGCAGCTATTATAACTAAATCACTAATTTCAAAATGTGCTCAATCCCACAAAAATAGCACCCTTGTAAAGATACAGAGGGTTTCTTAGGCTAGAAAGTCCTTTTAATCTCAAACTACTGAAATCACTGATCCTTTCACAGGCTGTGGTACATCGAGACTTACCATGAATGTTTTAAAAGCATCACATTCCTCCCAGTTGAGTCTTGTGATGAGCTTTTAGAACTCTCTCCTTCTGACTGTCATGTTACCAGCCTTCCTTTCCAGCTCTCTTTACATTTCCCCTCCAGCTGTGTGTCTCGTCATGGGAGCACAGGCTGAACCAACAGTGTGGAGTGACAGGGCTCAATGGAAGGTACAAAGATTACTTACTTTTTTTATATGGAGGCATCTCACTTTTCCTCTTGTCACAGTACTGATTGCATTGTGCAAAATCACTAGCTAGATTCAGGATCTCTGTTGCTCTTAGTATTTTCCTCTATACAGGAAGGAACATACATATAAATGCCTGATAAGCATGCTAAAACAATAATCATCTGCACAAATATGTACAAACTCATCTTGTAAATCAGAACTACTACAAAAGCAGCTGATTTAAAAAACACTTCTTTATGCTGACACCAACTTTTAAACACACCTCAGCCCCTGTAGTGATTCATTTTCAGGAAGGTTTGAAGGAGTAAACATCATTCATGCACATGTCCTAAATTTTGGTCCTTGATCCAGCTGTTTCTCAAGACTTTTGGGGTCCCCTGCCCAGTTTGCCAGCATCTAACATGGTATTAAAAGGGCAGAGTAAGTTTCAAGCTCTTATGGTCCTACTGGCTAGCCATGGCCATCGCAGCTTTCCAGTCATACCACGTCCCTCAATGGAATATCAGGCAGGCTTTCAGGCCAGATTCTTCCCTTGTACTGGACTCCAGGCATCAGCATTAAAGAAACTGGTAAGTCAGAAGAGACAAGGACTAACTTTACTATCTTTTAAGAGGAAATTAATAAATAGAATCATGTAAGTATCAAAAAACATATGAAAGAAAAACTTTCTAGTTGCAACAGTTCTGAGATCCTCTCTCTAGCTAAGTCTCTCTATTAACTTTTCCATAAATAAATGCGAAGGCAGGGGTCACTGACTGACTGCGCCATGTCTTTCTTGTGGAACACTTGTGCACGTCCGCACTGGCACAGAGGTGCTGATCTCCATGGACAATGCACAGCTTCACGAGACATTCTCATACTCCTGGATAAGGCCACTGTGGATGTTTTTTCATGTAAACCAAGAGATAGGCTGTTTCTCCCCTGTGGAAACAAAGAAAAGGCAAAACAAGATGTATGTTTGAAGATTAGGGTTGCAAGTAACCTCCCAGGTTTGGTCCTGCTCAGCTTTTTGAGGTCTGTGTCAACCAAACCAGCCCCCTTCAGTGATCCCTAAGGCATCATATTCACTCACTGGCAGCACTATATAGGAGAGATTCTGCTCTCCTGCATCTCCAGTACATCCCTGGCAATATGCAGTTCAAACCATTTGTCTTCCCTCTCTTTGCTATCCTCATTCCAAACCCCAGAGGAACATTTGGTAAAAACAGGTATGTTTGCTTACCAGTGGAGGTTGGAATGTCCATAGGTGCATTTCACATCATCCCACGATACCTAGAGAAATAAAATACAAGAGGAGGCTGGTAAAAGCTCTCAAGAGAGGGACACATTGTGATACCAGCACAGCAATTTTTTTAAGAAGAGTGGTATAGGGGTACTTCCAGAAACTAAACACCCTTTAATAAATGGGTTTATTGTTTTTACTCCTTGAGGAAAAACAGTTCCTTTCCTTCTTCTGAATACATACGTTAAACAGATCCAGAGTACATAAAGTAGGGTATACAGTGAATGGCTGCTTCTGCACATTGCAAAGCAGAACCCAAGGCCTTGTTTGGTACAGAAGCTACAGCAGCTCTGCCCTCAGTTCAGAGTACATTGCAGCAGAAGAATGAGGTGCACAGAGCTCTGCAGCTTCTGTTTTCTTCCCTGGTTCTCTCTAACGAGCAAATGGAGAGACCGAATGGGATCTCGAGGAGTAACCAGGAAGCTACAAAAGAAATGTGTGTTTGTCTCCTTACCTGGCAAACCTCAGAGTCGTTGAAGCAATACCATTTACATTCTGTGAGACTTCGAATATAGGCACAATAGTGTCCACAGCTAATTGATCCTGAATGGGCAATGACAGCAAAAAGGTCATACTGCCAGCCAGCCTGTGAAGAACCACAAAGAGTGACTTTTAGTGCAGCAATTCTCATTTGCCATTGGCTAAAGAAGATTCAGCAGCCAGGGCAGCAAGAATGTGTGTTTTGTGAGGAAAAAGGAGGCAGATTAGACTGGCCTTGAGGATCCTGCCCTTTCTGTTCTTACCCTCAGAGTTTTGCTTATCAGCTATGGGGCTGTCAGCCTCCCTGAACACAGGAACATGAGAAAGGCTGTAGGACAGCAAAGGGGCAGCAAACACTGCAGCCAACACTGCACCATGAGGTTTGGCTGTTGCCACACTTCGCCTTGTTATTTCTCAGTAAGGGGAACAGATCCACCCTCAGCTGCTTGGCAAAGCTGTTGCCTCCCTGCTAACCTTAACTCTGTGCAAACAACACTACATGGGAAACTGCCAGGAATGGAATTCCCCTGTCTTGGACTGGTGACCTCTCCAAAGCAGTGGGTCTGCTGCTCACACTGAGACCATCTTGAGCTGGAGTCCAAACCACACGAGGGAAGTTGCATCTAAGACACTGTTTACAGTGTCTGGATTTGGTCATCCAAATGAACTGTGTTTTCATCTTTTCTTTAGTATGTTTAGAACTGGAAGAAAAATGTTATGCTAAACACTCACAAAAAAAAAAGTAAAAAAGAAGTTGGGGTCTTATTTGTAAAGCCTCTTTTTTGTCCTTATGGCAGAAAGCTTCAGTTATGGTGCCTTTGGTGGTTAAATCTGAGCACAGAAAGTTGAATAATGCCTGAACCACTTAAAACCATGAGATGTGAGAGAGCACCATGCACAGGCAAAGCCTGAGATGAACATTTTTAAGAGAGGTGCTTTGAACCTAGGCAAGTACTGATGTCACCTCTTAAGGTTTTATGAGACTTGAGCACAGGGGAGAAGAAAATGTCCTTTTAAACCAGGGCATTAGGAGTATCTCACCTTTTCATTGTCATCTGCTTGGCACTGACTTTCTGTCAAGACTGCATTGAAATCAAGGTCTTGCGGGAATGGCAGGTAGTGACTAAGCTTGTGAATGCGGGCTGCTTTTTCGAAGCAGAAACGCTTCAGGTGTATGGTCAGGGTCTGTGGCAGATGGACTAGCTTCATGCTCTGTAAAGCAATAAGTAACATCATTAAAAACTAAGGAACAAGACCTGGGGAGGTGGGGTGGAAACAACCATTGTCACCCTGTGAACAGACAGAGCTACAGTGAATGAATGCCAGTTCCACTGGACAGCAGATGCTTTTGCAGCTCATCTGGATTTGTGATAAGCAAGTTTCTCAACTTCAGCATTGGTCTTCTCAAGGGTTGCTTCCTTTCTAGCCTGCTTTCTGAACCCTAGGTTAGTAGCAACAGGTAGGTGAGGAGAGGCAAGGCAATTTTCTTGTGACATTTGGCCACCAGAGGTCCACGGAGGATGCCAACCTCACAGCTCATCCCTTCCACCACTGCCTTTGTTGATATTACTGTTGCTGCCACCATGGCTGCCAACAAGACATATGGAGGTACTGTGGCCCTGAAGGTGACTCAATGGGAAGTACCTCCGAGCCCTGAGCTGAGGCAGTCTCCCCCCCGCACCTCTCTTTGCCAGCTGATGAATTAGCTGTTTCATGAAGAGGCAAATGTATTGAAGAGATCAACACTGTAAAAAATGGGGAGGGCAGTGGAAAACAGGGAAGAAAGGAAATCACCCTAAGATATCCTACTTTTATGTGTATGCACAGCTCCAGTAACATGTTCTTGTCTACCTCTGGAGCTATGCAGCAGTGTAGAGCCCTACAGCAGAAGCGCAACATAGAATCATAGAATCACAGCATCATAGAATGGTTTGGGTTGGAAATGACCTTAAGATCATCTAGTTCCAACCCCCTGCCATGGGCAGGGATGCCTCACACTAACATAAACCAACTTTTCTGCTGATACAAAAATGCTGCATCCCTTGGTGGCTTATATGAAAACCCATAAAATCATTATCTTGTTGCTAGAGCTACATCTACATTAAGGAACTTCTTAACAGGAAAGATGCATGTGGTTTTTATCTAGCTGACATTGCTGCACTGACAAAGCTTTGTATTGTTGATCTCCTCAAACTGATATGGTTGAGTCCTTTCCCCACCCTTCCCAGTCCTAAAGGGAGTTCTGTGTAGAAGAGAAATATGGGGAAATAATTATCTGATTACCTGCAGAAAAGGTGTCTTTCTTCCACACTGCTCACAGAAACACATGTTGTGATCAGTCAGCTCTTCTGGTTGGAAAAAGCATTGCAGGCAGTCCTTCTAAGGAGACAGAGGAGATTTCTTTCAACTGAATTCCTTCAAGCCAGATTTCCATTTTTACTTTGTTTCACAGGGTACAAGCAAGCAGCAAAGCTACAGAAGGCATATTGTATTCAAAGGACAAAAGATAATAATAAGAAATTTAGAACTCCTCAAAATAAAGAAGAAATGTGAATGAGAAAAGATCACCCCAGAGTACCAGACACCCTGCAGAGATTCTTAGAGATTCTACCTGAGTCCAGGACACACCAGTGCTGCAAAAAAAAGGCTTCCACAGTGAACAGGGGATAATCTTCTTCCTAAGGAGCCAGTACTGGCACTAACTTACTAGAGTCTTCAGCATGCGGCAATTGGAATCCAGCAGTGGGAGTGGAAGGGTTAACATGCTGCTGTTCTTCTTTTCCTCAAAAGAGCACTTCTGACAGGCCAGGTGCTCCTGTATACAGATAGTGTACAAATCACTCAGCTCTTCAACCTGGAGGGGTAAAAAAAGGCCAAAACAAGGTTTATGAAGAACACAGCTGAGGTATTTTCCTCTGTGAGTAGGAAAGACCACATGGACACGTTTCTTCAGTGTTACTACTTTAAGGCTTGACCCCAGATCTGACACTGACTTACATGGACAGTTCATTTATTGGAGAACAACTGCTTCCCCTCATCACATAGCAGAGGGGAAAGACAGTCTATAACAAGACCAGACAAATATCTGCTTTGGTAAAGAATTCTACTGTTTTGTCTGGAACTGCAACAGGAGCCTGTCTTCTATATGAACAAAACTATGGCAGTGGGTTGAGGAAGAGTTACTTTTCTCTTACCTTACACAGCTCCCCTGGGAGGAACCGTCATATACATAACATGCTAACAATGAATAATTACAATGAAAAGCACATGGCTGACTTCAAAGAACAGAGAAGCTGTGTCAAGATACACCAGTGTTGCAAAAAAATCAAACCTTTTGTTATTAATTGGTTCTCCCATGAGAATGGAGACCCTAGCAGGCTCAAAAAGTAGGATGAACAGAAGTTAATTGTGATTCATAATTTTGAAGCCTATGAAATCAAGATTCCCTCTCTCATTACATCACACATAACAAGGGCCAAAAGATCTTGTGTTCTTTTCAGTGATTGTTCTTACCAGCTCTGGCTTTTTCATCTGCTTCTTTATCAAGTTCCAGAGGGTCAGAAAGAGCTGAGCGGCATCATGCTGCACAAACACTGGACAAACAGAAAACACAACCTTGATCGGTATTATGAACAGCACTCAGCAGACTTCCTGCAGATGGCAACGGGAAATTCATTGACCCCCATTAGATCCAGTCTATTCTTCCCTTGGCTCTCCTTGTCAGGGACAGAGCTTAGACTGGAAATGAATGTCACCATGTGACCCAGGCAGGCAGTGGGAAAAGATGGGAGGGTTCGAGTGCCCCATTGTAGAACCCAGTGCAAAAGTCATGTACTTGTCACCAGATGCAGTGCTGTCCTATTTTAGCTTTTGTATGATAAAGATCAGAGCATTTGAATATACTGTGTGTATATGCACATGTAAACAGACCCTCCACATCCCATTGTCTCCGGTCCCCCATGCATTTAACACTCTCTGCCCTTTGGGACCCTGCCCAGGTGGGAGGTTAAGCCAGCAAATTTTTTTCTCTGCCCTTATAACAAGGAACAGGAAGGATATGATTTCTATCCTTGGCGATCAGGGTGAGCTCAGTATCTTTTCCACACGATCCCTTCCTTCTAATAAGAAATAGCAGCTGTTTCACTATTATCATGCCAGTATAGCAAGACAAATCAAGCTATAAGCTGTCCTCTCTCTGCCTTGCACAGCCCATTCCCTCTGGCCAGTATCAGTAGCTGAGTCTTCTAGCAGTCTGATAGTCTTCCTACACTTTGGACATCAGCAAGGATATCTAGCAGGAGCATTTTCTTTCTTTTATTTTCCCCTCTTCACAAGTAAGATACAACATCTCTCTCACTACTACACACCATCATGTACCTAACTCCTCACATTTCTGAATCTCTGAATGAGATGTCAGAGTTTGCACTTCTTGTTAATGCTCGAAAATTAACATCTCTGGTCTGCAGAATGAGGTGGGCATGAGGTGGCGCTGCTTACATTTCACTTTGTATGCTGAAAGACAGTAAGCCAGGGCTATGGGATAAACAGCTTTCTGCTTGCCACATTGCATCTCTTCCAACAGCAGGAGCATTTGGTATGGGACATTCTTCTGCTGCTGCTCAGCATATAGTGGCACCGTGATCCTATCGAGAGAAGTGATATGAATGGTAATCGAGTGGTACAATGAAGAAATATTTGACATCACACCTGAAGAAGCAAAGGGCGATAGCACAGAAAGCAACTCAAGAGGCACCAGAATGGGCTTGTTTTCAGCAAAAGAAGGAAAAAGGGGAAGCAGACACCTGCACTAGCTCATCCCAAAGTGCCGGCTGACCATTCTAAAGTAAAAGGCCACAATTCTAAGTTGGCCTTCTCATGAGTAAGGGGCAAACCGAGCAGGATCTGAAGTGCTTTCTAGCCTCGAGAAACAACATTCAGGATAGAGCAAGTTTTAGAGCTGTTCTTGCCTCTCACCTGCTCATGCCTTGATTCTCAACATAACTTCAGCACTTGATCAACACGTATAAAATGCTTGTATTTCAACTAGATGACAACTGGAAAGCTCTTTACCTTCCCTAAATTTATTGCAGTCCACGGGTTTTTCTAAGTCTTTCTTCAAATAGCACTGATAACCTTCTGGTTACCAGTTACTGATAGTTACTGGTAATTATCTCACCATATAGCTTTGCCCATTAACAACACTTCTCATCTCTGCATGTCTGTAACTTGTCTTCTTCCCTCTTTGCACACTGGTAGGCATGTAAGAAATTTGGAGAAAGGAGGACTGAATAAGAATGATCCACTTAGATAATTAAAGCTGCAGTGAGCTGAGTAAAAGCAAATCAAACCAGTTATTACTGTGGTTGGTAGGGAAGCAGAAGCCCAAATCTTCAGCATGAACAAACAGGAAGCATGGCCAAGCAAAACAAAATAACACTATGTATTTGTCCTCTGCAACAACACTTGCTCCTCTGTATCAGGTGCTAGCCAGGACAATCAGAGGACAGAGCCTATGGATCACAATATGTTTGCTTTCACACGTTTAAAGTTACAAAATTAATAGTGGGTTACACACAACACACCCTTTAGTTATAGCAGCCTATGAGTAAACAACGAATAAAATCACATCTTGTTATGAAAAAGGGAGATACAAGTCTTGAAGACTCAGTTTAAGGCTGTAGCTTACCAACGTGCAAATGGCACATGAATCAGAGATGACTAACAAGTCATCTGCAACTGCTACCTTTGCAGGACCTAGGCTGTGTGTAACAGACACAACAAGGCAGAGACCTTGCTGAATAAGTTGAAAGCACCTTGTGAGCACCTTGATGATCCAAGCCTTCAAATGCACCTCACACAGAAAAAAGGAGTGGAGACAACAACAGAGCAACAATGGGAGTATCTTAGGTAGTTCAAACCAGTGGTACCTTCGAAGTATCCTTGTGAAACGTATATTCATGAAGAACACTTGGAGCAGGGAGTTCAGACAGCAGCTGTGTCCAACGTTGTACAGTCCAATGGCTCCTGCAGGCACAGAAAAAGAGGAAGTGAGTCCTGGAAACAGGTACAAGAAAAGAAAGTGACAATTACTTGGAAGTGATAAACTCCTCTTGCACACATTCAGCCATTCAGGATATAGGAGCAGCATCTTGGTCAGGCCTCAGAAAGTGTTCAATCTTATTCTTACGTTGCTCAAGCAGATAACATGTATTTTTGTTTGGTAACTGACAGGAAAAACCCAAATAAACCTGGATTATGATGCTCAGATGTCTTCCAGTTGATCTCTTTTCAGTCCTTTCATAACACATCTAAACATAAAATAAAAAACTTCACAGAAGTCAAAGGCTGCCTGTATGAGGATTTTTATTTAGCCTTTTACACAGCCAGGCTTAATGACAATTAATTATGTTTTATATAAGGCTTAATTAACAAAATAAAGAGCTACATGTGGGACCACATGTTAGCTGTCCACCACACAGGCTTCAGGTTTCCCCTTCAGCCTACCTCTGCTGTTCTATGTCTCAATTTCAAAGAAAGGAACTAGCTTGAGAGAAGTGGAAAAAGCAAGCCACAGCTGTTCATACTGCATCTAAAAAGACAGCATATTCTGTGCCCCAAAGTAGTATAAGTAACCATGGTCAGAAATTCGAAGTTTTTCTTCTGAATTCATCACAAAAGGGAGAGAGGACATGGAATGGAAACTCAGAACAACTCTGGAATGCATACAATTGGTGGTAAGGGTGGGCTGTAGCTGAAAAAGAACAGTATGTACACCTGAAATATTGATGGAAGCTTTTGAGAGGCCAATCTAGTGATGCAGCAGAATAACTAGGGCCTTGTCCATGGTTCAGCAAATCTGCAAGCAATGCTGGCTATGTTTGGAAAGAGACAGAGACAGCATCTAGACCTTTTTGGCTACAATGGCAAACCTGAGGACTTAAAATTGGAAAAAGCCTTGAGATCCTCATGTAATCCCTTCCCCCCCCAAAAAAAAAAAAACAAACAACAAAAACAAAACAAAACAAACCCAAACCCAAAATGGTTACTTGGCAGGGCAAAATTAGAATCACCTGTATATTCCTCAGGGAAAAGGTAAAAGAATAGGAGAAAATGTAACCAAGGACAGAGAATGGAACAGCAGGTATTAGTATGAGTGAGGGATAGACAAAACATTATTACCGTTTTTTAAGTCTGCCACACCAAAGACTGATGTCAGCCTCTGGACTTTGGCCTTCAGCTCTTCAGCATCCTCTTCATTATTTTGTACTTTTGCTTCTGCCTTCATAGTCTCTGTTAGTGCCATCTCTAGTTTCTTGCTTGTTTCCTGACGTCCACTTCTTTGTCCCATCAACAGTGCTTTACAAAGACAGAAAGGCTGCAGAAAGACACAGAAAGATCAGAAAGAGGAGGACCACCCAAAAGCACAGGATTTGTCTTTGAATGTGATATTTTCATTATGAAAAAGCTGGAATGTCAATAAAATTAGTAAGATCACTGCAACAGCATTTGATAAATTTAAATTAAGACAGGGTATTGTAGGTGTGCTGGGTATTGGCAAGGCAACAGACATGGAGCTTGATGTCAATTGCACATCTTGTTCTCTTCCTTTTGTGGCTAAATAAATAAATGAACCTTTGGTTCTGCATAGCCAGGGAGCCACAGATATCTCTGTTCAGGAAGATTTGGTAAATAATATGCTTAAAATTGTGCAAATGGGAGATGACACAAAACTCCTGTGTTTAGTAAAAGTATCTGAAGTATCCCAAGCATTCAAAAGTGCAAATTTCACCTTGTCTAGACCTTTGAATTGATAAACATTAGTTTGTTTTCTATACTGGGATCTCTGCATTGTTTTCTAGTTACAGCTCTACTGTGGCACTTTGGAGTGTAATTTTAAAAGCATTTAAGCACCTAAATATCAGCTTGTTCTTATGCTCCTTCAAGTGATCACAGGCAAAGTAACTGTTTAAACAAAAGAACCATTATAATGCCTTGATTTGCAAGCGAGTATTGAACAGACTATTGCACTCGTCAGTCTCTCATAACTTATCTACTGGCTACTTAAATAAAAGATTAAAAAAGTCACCAAACTAAAGCAAGGTAAAAATACCCAGGACAAAGCAATGTGACAAATGTTCAAACGCAGTTACACAGAAACGAAACTTTCTTAAAGCCCACGTCCAACAGGAAGGCAGAATCATAAAAAAAATATATGCTTAGGGAAGAATTTGTGAGGATGGAAAAATAAAACACAAACCAAATGCTCAGAAATTAATATTCTACAAATACTAGACGGCACATAAAATGAACCTGAGGCCAGCTGCTGAGAGAGTGAAGAATAACCAAAAAATACTGGTTCTGCCTTGCACAAAAAAGAAAATCTTTGCTTTAAAAGCACATTATTTTTCAGGTTAACTGTGGCCAATAATGTCAAATATAAAATCTTAAGATTTAGGTAGGGAAACCAGAAATCGATTTATTTCCCCCCCCCCAGTTGTTGCATTTAATCTCAAGTATACTTTTTCCTGACTGTACTCTTAATTCTGTACTTTCAAGGTTTACTTTTGAACATTAGGTGTCATAGATTCAGATTCTCTGAATATTGTCAAATTTGCTGAGGAGTTTTACTGGGGGGGAGAAATAAACTTAGACACTCAATAGATTCAAAAATAGTACTTTTAATAGCCGAACCCCGTGATGAGAATAGCTACTCAGGAAAAGAGAAATTTGACTTGATTTCTTCCTCAGCAAAACAGCATCTGAACTCTCTCTGCCCCTTCCCTGACAAGGATTTAATGAGGCATTCAGGTTTCTGAAGGCCCAGCTGGAGCACAAGCCCATCTGCGCTTACACTGTGAGACCAACTGGTTTTAGTTGGTACAATATCATCCAGGAGGTAAGTAATACAGCCAGTGGAGATGCCAAAAGAGACATAAAGGAGGAGGATAGGCAGGGCAGAGGTACCTAAACAACAGCTAGAGATGTACTGGGCATGAGGTGAACTTGCAAGACAACACAGCTTTTGGCAAGAGATGTAGGATTAAGGTGGCAGTGGGTGAAAGAGAAAGCTCGGGTCTAAAAGGCTTTGCGTGATCTGAGAAATAAGTGGAAAGATATTAAGGCAGATACAGAGATGGGAGCATTTGGGTCTCCAGTTCAATGAAATCCTCCCCCAGGCACTACTAATGGGATCCCTGGTGTGGAGGCAGGGGCACGAACACGGTTTCCCAACCCTTGCATGGAACTGCCATTTTAGGGATATCAGAAATATGGCATTCCTAAGATTTGCACTTGACTTTCCTTTCCCTGCATAACTGTATAAAAACCTGGTGAGGAGCAGGCTCCCCTCTTGCCCCTAATTTCTCCTCTCTCACTGGAGGAGCAGGGTTGTTTCTCAGTTTCTTTTGCAGGTCAGGGGTAGGACTCAGTACTGCTCCCTTGGCCACGCTAGCACCAGGCAGAGAAAAAGTAGTGGTGATACCTTCTCATACCCTCCGCCCCATTATCATTGAGCCCTCTCAATTGCCCTCAGCTTGCCCAGTGTCCTCCTTTCACCCCAGTCTGCTCCACAGCCTATATCCATCCTTCCAAGACACCAGCCTCTCACGGCAAACCACCGGCAGCCCCATACCACAGCCCCAAAGGCCCTCTCTGCCTGAGGGGGACCACCACCTCTGTCCCACGACACCTATTCCCCACCATCATCGCTTCTTTCCCCTCATGGGTACCCTGGGGAGCAGGCAGACAAGGGGATGGTGTTGGGACTGGAGGAGGGCTTCGAGGCAGCAGCCCTGGGATACTTTTCGAAGGGTTCTCAGCCCTTCACTTCCATACTCCTCTGGGATGCGACTGACACAAGATTCCCCACTTTGCTGTCACACTAACACGTTTGTTCAGCTCCCTTTCCCCCCTCTTCTTTCCGTCCCCCCGGCACTCTGTGGCTCTAGCTCATCCCACCTGACAAAACAGCGGAAGCCTTGCTCACCAATTCCCGCAGCCTCGGCGGGTCCTCACATTCACAGCCTCGGGCGCTCGGACCCTGCGTCTCCCCGAAGCGATCCTCAGGACCACCTCAGCCTGTCGGGCCGGTCCAGCCCTGCCCGGCCACCGGAGGGCCGCCTGCAGCGAGCGAGGCGCAGCGGGGCCGTGAAGGGCAGCGTGGAGGCGGCGGCGGAGTGCGGGCGCTTCTCCTCTCCCCTCGCCGGCTGCGTCAGAGAGCAGCAGCGCCGCTTAGTTTTCATTTCCCGCTCGGCAGAGCGCAGGAACAGAAAGTGAAACTCGCTCAGCAGTGGCCCAGCCCTGGGCAGTCCGGCCCGGTGCGGTGGGGCGAGGCGGGATGAAAGAAAGGCGGCCGGGAGACCATAGCCCTCCCTGCACAGGGGCTGCTCACCGCGGCCCAGTCTGCCGATGTCCTGACCCTCTCCGACACCTCGGCCTGGTTCAGTCTGGTTTGTTCTAGGCACTTGGGTTGGAAGGGACCTTCAAGATCACCTAGTTCCGACCCCCCTGCCATGGGCAGAGAAGTTGACCTCTGCAAGAAAAAGCCCTCTTCTTCAGCAGAGGCAGTACCTCAGGAGGTGTGTTCTGCCTGGACTTAGCATGGCTGCTCATTACCTCCCAAAAGCAGACGCATCTTGGGCCAGGCGTTTGTTAGGTTTAGCCACAAAAGCAATAGAAAAGCCGAACTCTTGTCAAGGCCTACCATAGCCTACTCAGAAGAAAGAAACAGCTCATTTAAAATGACCCCAAACAAGTAACTCACTGAGAAACTTAACCCAGGTGGCCAGCTGAAAGCCTCGGCAGTTTTCCTGTCTGATGGTGGGCTGCGGTGTGCAGTGGGATATACAGATGGCAGCACAGTGGTAAGGACCAACTCCAACACTAACCCAAGCTGTGGAATTTCAGGCCTCAATAAGTCACTGATGTCTGGATGATGCCTGTCCACTGATGCTTGGGTGGACACTTCTCCAGTGTGTATGTTAGGTTTCCAGGCTTTCCCTTTCACCCTGCGTATCTGCAGGAGGAATAAAGGGCTGCAGAGCCCCATAAGGAAGCTTTGCTACTCAAAGGATGGCCACTGGTCCAGCTTTGCTCCTCTTGAGGTGGGATAGTTTGAAGGTGAGTGGTGCTTCCCCACAGAGCTCTCTCTGCTGACTCTGGAAATGATGCAGGTGATGCAGGGAGTCCTGCTATGTGTGTGAAATAGATCGAGTCTTTGGGACCCCAGGAGGGAGAGCCCCTGTGTGATTTTGCAGGGCACACTTGACTACCCTCTATAGAGGAGCTCCAGCAGGGTCACAGATGTCATGTCCTTCCCTTGCCACCAGATTGTCCCCAGGGCAGGCTCAAACCCTAATCCCTTCCTGTCTCTGCCTGTAGGGTGTAGGTGTTGCCCCCTTCCACAGGCTGTGCAGAGCTCCTGATGGCTTCTGTCTTCCTTTATTTGCTCCCTAGAAGGTCACTGGTGTCTTGGAGGACCCCTTTGCCCCTCAGAAAAGCCCTATCAGTGAGCTGCTTACATGAATTCATATGTGCTATGCAGAAGCCTTCAGCTGTTGTTTCACTAAGTTACCAAATTCAGATTCAAATGAGAACCTGCTCATACAACCTTGCTCTGTTGGAGGCAGCACCACTGCTTGGCAGTTAGAGCTCTTCAGCCAAGGCAGCAGTGGCAGTGAAAAGCTTCCTGAATTGTCACAGGGGTGGGTATGGATATCTATAGGGGCTTGTGAGAAGAAGGGCACAAATAACTCAGCATCTTTGCTGTGATTCTGGCAGAGCCTCTTGTCAATGGTTTAAATTTAGCAGTGTTCCCTTCCTATTGCTAGCTTGTGTGGCATCTGCTTCATAGAAGGGAGGAAGAGAGATAGAAGAACTGCTAAGCCATAAGTTGCCTAGAGACAGTCTAACCACCTGAACAAAGAGCAAACCAACACTGGAGACTGAACAGAAGCTAGGTCTGAAAGTTCTGTGGAAACTAGTGAAGTAGTGTGCAGCTGAAGTGGCTTTTGGTAATAACCCCTGTGAGGGCTTGGATGCTCAATTAAGAGGAGCATTTGTCTCAAGAATATTTAAGCTTTGCATGTTGAAGTTACTCATGACACCCCACTTCCAAAACAGGTAGCAGGCAGAAGTCTGAGCACAGAAAGTGTGCTCAGATGAAGGGATGGCTAAACATGAAAGATGCTGTGTTCTGGTCTCCAAATACACTGCTGGCTGGTCATCGCAGAGTAGGGTCACTATAACAAAAGCTGCTAGCTCCTAATAATTGCCCTGGCACTTCTAATGTCCAGAATGCACTGACTATTGTGAAAGCAGAGATCCTGATTCCTGAGTGTCCTTGCAAATAAAATAAACCACAACACTGATGATCAGATGAGATTTTAAAAGCTTTCAGGAAATTAGGAAGTGCACACCCAGTGTTTTAGGATGCTTACAGTACTCCACACTGGATCAACAACTTCCACTTCACTGCATTGCTTTCTGCAGTTTTTCACAGAACAGACCAAGCAATTCATCTGCCATGTTTAATCACGGGGTTTTGTCTTTATCTCGTTGCCTATTTCTCCTCTCTTACGGGAAAAACAGGGTCACTTCTCAGTTTGAACACATACATGTGTGTCATGTATGAATTTCCTGTTTCTGGTTTGGGGCCTAATTCAGAACAGAACTGTGAGGGAAGCAAAAAAGGAGTCTAAATTCCACTAGGCTGAGTAATACTTATCCATGTTTCTTCAGTTTAGGTACATAATCAAGCATGTCCTAAATAGGATGTTTTCCTAAACAGAGCCATTTCTGCTACTCCATAACTTCATAGTTTAGTAATTTACTGATCTGGTTAATTAAATGGGGTACACCACTAGTTAATGGCCTCCAACTAGATCTGATGCCACTGATTACCACACTCTGGGCCCAGCCATTCAGCCAGTTTTCAGTCCAACTCACTATGCTCACCCAGCCCATACTATGAGGATCGTACAGGCAACAGTGTCGAAAGCCTTATTCAAGTCTAGGTAGACAATATCATAGAATCATAGAATCACAGAATAGTTAGGGTTGGAAAGGACCTTAAGATCATCTAGTTCCAACCCCCCTGCCATGGGCAGGGACACCTCACACTGAACCATGCCACCCAAGGCTTCATCCAACCTGGTTTTGAACACTGCCAGGGATGGAGCATTCACAACCTCCCTGGGCAACCCATTCCAGTGCCTCACCACCCTACCAGGAAAGAATTTCCTCCTTATATCCAATCTAAACTTCCCCTGTTTAAGTTTTAATCCATTAGCCCTTGTCCTATCACTACAGTCCCTAATGAAGAGTCCCTCCCCAGCATCAGCATCCCTATAAGCCCCCTTCAGATACCGGAAGGCTGCTATGGGGTTTTCCTCTAGTTTGTCAGGCCAGTTGTTTCATCATAAAAGGTCATCAAGTCAGTAAAGCATGACTTCTTGTTGGTGAATCCCTTCTGAGTACTCCTGACAGTTTTCTTCTTGTTCATGTGCCTAAAAATCATTTAGGGATTGAAGTGAGGCTGACCAGCCTGTAGCTCCCTGCATCTTCCTTCTTGTCCTTTTTGAAGACAGGAGTGGCATTTGCTTTCCACCAGTCTTTGGCCACTTCTCCCAATCACCATGATCATCAAACATTATCACGAGTGGCCTTGCAATGACATTAGCCAGCTGCCTCAGCTCTCATGGGTGCAACCCATCAGGGACCCTCAATAAAAAGTAGCTGAAAGGTTTCCTAGTCAAGAATTGGCATTGCCTAGCAAGACATGAATCCTATAGATTTGAGATCTTGGATCACAACTTTGAATTATCTTTGAGTGAACGTTCAAATGCCCATATTGCAGACTCACTTGCACATGGTGCACTAAATAAAGATTGCCACAGATGGCACAGTGATCTGCTGGTTAAAGCAGATGTTGTTTCTTGCAGAGGAGGAACTATGCAAGTAGAGTAAGGAATACTGAAATGTTTTCAGGAGGTATGATGCAAAAAATAAAAGTTTAGGTTTTATTGTTTTGTTGTCTTTTTTTAAGGGGGAAAAGCTTCTCATTTAAACAGTTTGAATTGTAGTGGTTTTAGTATGTGCATTAGAGCTTAAACAGGCTTACATTAAATGTGCAAGGAAGAAGAGTGAGTCTTTTTGCATTGCTGGGAGTGGTGAGGCATTACTGCAGCTGATCCTATCTTACAGGACAACTTACCTGTGATTTATGGAATAAAAGGTGTCTCTATGTGACCCCTCTTAAATTTCTGTATATTACATACAAAAAAATATGACCTAATGGTAGACACATGCAATACAGTGATACAGAGACAATTCTCTGCTCACTAGAAACAAGGTGTATTTTAAAACTACTCCCCATCATTTTCTTCTTCAAATGAGTCAGTTCCCACTTCCTCATAGTCCTTCTCCAGGGCAGCCAGATCCTCTCGGGCCTCTGCAAATTCTCCCTCCTCCATGCCTTCACCCACATACCAGTGCACAAAAGCTCTCTTGGCATACATCAGATCAAACTTGTGGTCGAGCCTGGCCCAAGCCTCTGCAATGGCCGTGGTGTTGCTTAGCATGCAGACTGCTCGCTGAACTTGGGCTAGGTCACCACCAGGAACTACAGTAGGAGGCTGATAGTTGATCCCAACCTGGAAACAGGAATATGAAAGAAGGTTGTGAAAAGGCAAGAGCCGTCAAAAGCAGTCAAACAGCTGAAAAAATGTGAGTAAAGTTACAGATGCTGGCATAGAGTAGTGCCACTATCAAAACTACTAGACTGCATATTCCATAAGAAATAATAATATCATAAACAATATGACATATGGTGTAAGAGACTGTGTCAGTGAAAACACCACCACCACAACAGGATGTCTGGCTCAACATTGGTATGGCAGGAAGACTGACATTGCCAATACCACTGCCACAGCAGGATGTCTGTCCTCGCATTTCTGTGGCAGGAAAACTACATTGCCAATAGCACCACCACAGCAGGACGTTTGTGAAGGGTATCTGTCTCAACATTGCTCTCCAGTTGACACTTCGGTGCAGGGTGTTTGCCTTAACATTGCTACATCACGGAACCACGAGGGGAGA